TCGCTTTGCATGGTAGAGTTTTAACTTGCAATTGTTGATCTAGTGACGAACTGTGTTAACTTATAATGGTTTCCCAAAGTGTTCCTGAGCCCATTCCATTTTTTGGAACGTGTTGCAGGCATCAAATTCAGAGTGAGTGATAATTTGCAATAAAAAAGTTTATCAGTTTAACATTACATATCTTTTCTTTGTAGTGTATTAAATTGAACACAGGTTGGAAAAGATTTGCAAATCATTGTATTCTGGTTTTATTTACGTTTTACACAACGTCCCAACTTCATTGGAATTGAGGTTGTAAATTTTCCGTTCCTTTTCTCACCTTTAAGATGTGAGATTTCATGTTGCAGATCAGCTTCGTCCACACAGGACATCATCTCAGAGACTGAGAAGAAAAAAGTGAATTAGAAACACAATAAGTGCAGACTGAATCCATGAGAATCTGTCATCCATTATCAACTTGAAACCAGTGTTAAGTTTGGGAGCTATTTTAGATTTAATTTTAGATGAAAATGCTTCTTGGATTTTTCTCTTTCATAGTTTTAGTTTAGTTTTAATCAACAAACACTTATTTTACTCAACATTTAGTCAAAATGTTTTCTCTCTCTAAACCAATATAATTAGGCTAATACAGATATTTAAACATGCCAGAAAGTTTGATCAGGCATTTGTTTAGGTTGTGCTTTCCATTATTACCTTTAAACACTATCACACTAGTGCTGACACAATTAGTCAAATAATAGCCTACTTGTCCTTAGAGTTAAAAAAAAAGACAAACATACACTAATATCTTAGAAATAGATTGCTGTGTAATCTTAGAAATACTGTAACCGTTTGACTGGATAGTAATTGAAATCCATGTTCAAGGCTCTCCATTGAGCTTTGGTAAGGACAAGCAAGTGAAAACAGCTCAAGCATATTTTACAAGCAGCTTGTTCAAATATATAAATAAATCAACTTAAACAGGCTATAAACATTATAGCAGCAACATGTGATGCATATTTAGACACATTAGGAAACAGGTCTGAAAAGCCAACACATTTTTTCTGTTGGGATGAGTAAACCAAAAAGTTTACTCACAAGCTTTGAAGCTAACGAGCTGATGTTAGCTAAAACATTAATCCAGCCAACGTGAGCCAGGTTCTTTTTATTCATTTGCTTCTGCAAACTTCCAGCCAGACTACGCCAACGTGGCTTGGAAATTTCAAAAAGTTCACTTCTTATGCACTGTGTGCATAAATTAAAAAAAAATTAAAAGATCCTGACTAAACCTGTTTTACTCACTTTCATATAGCACAAATCCAAAGCTGCTGCTGAACATCATGTGTGACATGTCTGGCTCTGTAGAAAATGTAGACATTCATTTATTCTTTTATTCACATGTAATCTGCGATAAACAACCTCAGAGATCTCTGGAGTTTTTTTTAAGTTGAATGAACTTTGACGAGCTGATTTATTGCTAGTAGGACTCACCTCTTAAACTCAGATGCTCTCCATTGTTCTCTTTCGCAACCTGACCCAGGCGAGTTAACAGCTCTGGAAGTTCAAGGTTTTTCCTCCACAGAAACCTGTAGTGACATTTTCTGATCATCTCCTTTAAGGGCGGATGGTTCATGTATTTTTCCATGAAACCTGGACTCTTGTCTCTTGGTGTTGATATCAGCACCAGTGAGTGATCAAATGATCGATCACTGAGATATTTGAGGATTGTACAGAGCCTCAGTCTGCCTTTCTCATCGAAGGCTTCAGGCTGTAGAACCAGCAGGAACACATGAGGTCCAGGATCAGAAAGTCTTACACACCTTTCTACAGGTCTTCTCAGTCTGTGTTGTGAGATCCTGGGATGCAGCAGATCAGGTGTGTTGATCAGAACTATTTCTTTCTCCTTCAAACGTCCTCTGACTCTCAGACAGTCGTCTGGTTCTCCTTTAGTGTTGAACTTAGTCTCTCCCAGTATGAAGTTCCCCACTGAACTCCTCTGAGACCAGTTGTTCCCCAGCAGAACAACCCTCAGCTCAGACACTGAAAGAAACACAGTAAGTGTAGACTGACTCCATGCGGAATAAAATAAAACAACCAGTCAGAAAGTCACAGCTTCTTTAAAGTGGACTTTATCTGTCATCCATCATCAACTTTAAACTTGCAGATTTACAAGTGAGCTTGCAAATATTTGAATGAAATAAAATGTTAGTTTGTGTTTACCACCTACAACCACTGTAAATAAAAACAGAAAAATATTTCTGACTCAATTCAACTCACTGTTAGGTGGCAGGAATTCAAAGCTGCTGCTGCGCGTCACAGGTGGCACATCTGGCTCTGTAGCGATACAGAAAACACTTTAAGCAGTCCAGCATACTTAGCATATGAAGTTTATGTATTTTTTTGTTATATAATGTTTATTGTTTTTGTTTGTAATGTAAGCAAGACAGAATAGCAATGGAGAGATAGAGATGTGTAAGCAAAAGCAAAACATTAAATTAAATTTTTTAACAACTTTACTAGGTCTGTATTGGTCTACAAATGTTGAACTTTTTGTTCCCTGTCCCGTCATTGACTTTCTGGTAGTCTTTATCTCTTTGTTTCTTCTTGTCTGATGTTCTGTTTTTTCTCACTCTCTCTTCTGTTGTTAAGTTTTTCCTCCTTTTCCTCACATTCATGGAAGATTCTGTCACATTGACTCACAGAATTAGAGCTGAGCGATACAGCCTAAAAATCATTAGGTCTGACCCCGAATAGTCATACATGGTGTGTTTGTAGTGGCAGAAGAGGAACTTGCTGTAGAGACGGAGCCTTAACTTCACCGGTGTTTGGATCATTTCTCACCATTGATGAACCACACAAAGAATATACATCATTTTTAAATAGTGCTTGAAATAGACCCGCGAGGAACCGTGATGTGCATGTAGCTGTCGGTCGAGCCTGTGTGAAATGTAGCCTCAGTTTCTTGTTCTTAGCTGGCAGGAGTGGCACCCGGTGTGGTCTTCTGCAGCTGTACCCCCTGCTTTAAGGTTCAACATCTTGTGCATTCAGAGATGGTGTTCTGCATACCTTAGTTGTAACGAGTGGTTATTAGAGTTACTGTTGCCTTTCTGTCATCTCGAACCAGTCTTCCCATTCTCCTCTGTCCTCTGACATCAACAAGGCATTTATGTCCACACAACTGCCGCTCACTGGATAATTTCACTTTTTCAGACCATTCTCTGTAAACCCTAGAGGTGGTTGTGCGTGAAAATCGAGATCAGCAGTTACTCAGACCAGCCCGTCTGGCACCAACAACCATGCCACGTTCAAAGTCACTTAAATCCCCTTTCTTCCCCATTTTGATGCTCAGTTTGAACTTCAGCAAGTTGTCTTGACCACGTCTACATGCCTAAATGTATTAAGTTGCTACTATGTGATTGGCTGATTAGCTATTTGTGTTAACAAGTGATTGAACAGGTGTACCTAATAAAGTGGCCAGTGAGTGTGTATATTCTGTATATTTTTAATTGTCACCTGCAACCTGAATTTTCTGATTTCCTTCACATAAATAAAACAATGAAACATTTTAATAAACTGGCACAGAAACTAACCATTTAATGATCAAAATGTTCATTTAACTCGGGACTGAAGATTTCTTAAAAATAGTGTTAAAATCCTGTCTCGTCTCGATCTCGTGAGCTAAGTGTCTCATCACACCCCTACCTATGTTTAGGAAGGTAGAAAAGTGGCCTTTATTTCTCTTTTGTGCTTTGTTTGATTATGTAATCTAGTGAGTATGATTATCGGATGTTTTGTTTATTGCTTTGGCCATGCTCTCCCTGACGCCTAATTTACCCTGATTGATGAATAAATGAATTCTCTGTAGACTGTATCAGCTGTGGCAATAGTCACCTTTGGGAGTGGGGAAAGAAGGAAGTCATTTTTTTGCTGCCCTCAGGTTTCCCTTCAGGCAGGTTAATAATTCAGGTTTTTTCATTCACATTTAATCTGTGATAACGAACTTCAGAGAACTCTGGAGTATTTTTAAGATGTAAGAAATTTGATGAGCGAACATGGCTTGACAGCAAATTTGCCACAAGTTCACATACCCACTGCCCAGTAACACTGACTTTAATGTTGGTAAATTTATATGCTTAGTTAACATAGGGTTATTCAATATCTGAGACTGCGGGCCTCCCCTTACTTTATTTGGTTTGCTTAGTTTCAGTAATACATAGCTGTTTGACGTAACTTCAATACCAAATACATAACAAAGGCCTTAAAGCATTTATCAGTACCTGAAACCGTAAAATATCTCAAACTACTGTATCTCTGAACTCCCTCTTTAACCAGATCACACACATTCAGCTATTGTATGTGATCTCCCTTGGGGAGGCCCACCACCCACTTTGAAAACCCCTGCATTAGGAACTTCAAATAGCAGGGTTGGTTGTTCTCTCTCTCGTTACCACAGTGCATTGTAACATCCGTTCATTGAAATTAAGTGTGTCCATAGATCCCGACCAAAACCCCCCCCGACCAAAACCATTTACCTTGAAACCATCGTTTTGTCGTCATGTAATTAATGCTGCTTGAAACATCGAAATTCACCAGTGAAGTTGCAAATGTTGCATTGAAAGTACATTTAAGTTTGTTTCCACTACCTACAAACACCTACATGTTAATACACAAAAGAATATTTCTGACTCAGGTCAGTTGAACTTACGCACAGACTGCTGGTGGCCATTGCTGCTGCAGCTTGCAATTTCTCTTAAATAGGCAGACTCCTGAAATCCACATCTGATGCTGAACATCATGGGTGACATATCTTGCTCCGTAGGAACACAGAAAATGTAGACATTAATTTATTATTTCATTCACATGTAATCTGTTATAAACAGCTTCAGAGATCTCTGGAGTTTCTGGATCTAGGAAATATGACGAGCAGATTTTATTGCTAGTAGGACTCACCTCTTAAGCTCAGAGGCTTTCCATTGTTCTCTTTCACAACCTGACCCAGGCGAGTTAACAGCTCTGGAAGTTCAAGGTTTTTTCCTCCACAGAAACCTGTAGTGACATTTTCTGATCATCTCCTTTAAGGGAGGATGGTTCATGTATTTTTCCATGAAACCTGAGCTCTCCTCTCTGGGTGTTGATATCAGAACCAGTGAATGATCAAATGATCTATGACTGAAGAGTTCCAGGACTCTGCAGAGCCTCAGTTTGTGTTCCTCAGTGAAGTCTTCAGGCTGTAGAACCAGCAGGAACACATGAGGTCCAGGATCAGAGAGTCTCACACAGTTTTCTAGAGGTCTTCTCAGACTCTGTTGTAAGATGCTGGGAAGCAGCAGATCTGGGGTGTTGATCAGAACTATTTCTTTCCCCTTCAATCGTCCACTGACTCTCAGACAGTCGTCTGGTTCTTCCTGAGTGTTGAACTTAGTCTCTCCCAGTATGAAGTTCCCCACTGAACTCTTTTCAGACCAGCTGTTCCCCAGCAGAACAACCCTCAGCTCAGACACTGAAAAAAATCACTGAATTAGGAAACACAGTAAGTATAGACTGAATCCATGCGGAATAAAATAAAATGGGGTTAACAAGAATCAGGACGTCACAGCTATTAAGGTTTTACCAGTGGGTTTTGTTGTTGCACATCCACCAATGTGTCACTTAACCCCTAGTTCTCCAGAGGTGTGTGACCTCTAACTCTGAAACTATTTTGATCAAATCTACTTTTAAATAAAGTCCTATCTCTAATATAAACCTGCTTCAAATAAAGACTTGTGAGTCGGCCAATATTACAAAATTAATTTTGTTATTTAGAGAAAATGTGAAAATATCGAGTCATAAATCATATATTCATGGCATAGCCTAAATGTATTGAGATCTTTCTTTTATACCCGTAGCGCCCAGTCCTGCCTACAAACGCTGTAATTCTAGATTTTAATATGGAAGAAAATATTTTTGACTCCGTTCTACTCACTGTTAGGTGGCAGGAATTCAAAGCTGCTGCTGCGCGTCACAGGTTCCTCTTCTGGCTCTGCAGGGATACAGAAAATGTAGATGATTATTCATTCATTCATTCACATTGAATCTGTAAGAAACCTGCTCATTACAATGATTGTTGGTGTCCACAAGTTGCATTAACATTTTCACTGCCTGAAAACACTGATTCAATTATTATTTACTCTCCCCGAACCCAGTTGATTATTGTCACTATCCTGTTCTGAGTATAATAATATAAACACAGACAACCCATGTTTATATATTTTGGCCATGCCTTCCTCTTTTGATTCTTGTTTCTCTTTTTACGGGTTTTGGTTCTTGATTCTGAAGTTTTGGTTGAGTTTAGTTCTCTGTGAGTTCATTTATTGATCAGTTCAGTAACCGTTTCAATCCTGTCTGTTGTCTTGCATCCAGTCTTCTCGGTGTGTGTATGTAGTTTGACTTGGTCCTGTCTATCTGTCTTGTGTAGTAGGTACTATGTTGTTCTGTCTTCTGCATGTTCTGTGTGGTTGTTCTGGTCTGATCTATCCTGTTGATATTTCGCTGCCTGCCTTGGTTCTTTTCCTGTCTGAAAGGTCGAAGGATCAAGTTGAGGTGGTTTGGGCATCTGGTAAGGATGCCTCCTGGACGCCTCCCTAGGGAGGTGTTCCAGGCACATCCAGCTGGGACGAGGCCTCGGGGAAGACCCAGGACTAGGTGGAGAGATTGTATCTCCACACTGGCCTGGGAACGATCCCCGGTCAGAGCTGGTTAATGTGGCTCGGGGAAGAGAAGTTTGGGGTCTCATGAGATGTGTGTTTCATGTTTGGGAATGGAGCACGCCCGGGCAGCTCTTGAGGGGGCTGCCTGCGCCCGTTGCGAAGCCCTTTCCGTGCGGGTACTGAGGTACAGCATGGCTCTCTTTTCCGAGGATGGCCGGATGTGTTCTCCCTGTGGTGCGGGCCCTGCGGCCGCTGAGGCAGCCCGGCCGCTTCACTCATGGGGTTCACAGCGATGTCGGAGGATTTCGGGAAGGCTGAGGCTTTTTCCCAACCTTCATCCGCTGGCTGCGACGCTTCCTTAGTGTCGTAACCGACGCAGTTCGAGTTCCCTCGAAGGGGAACGTCTCGGGTTACGTATGTAACCCTGGTTCCCCGAGAAGGGGAACGAGACACTGCCTCGGCCCGCCGCACCTCTCTCCCCGCCTGAAGCGCCTGCTTCATAGTTTAAGCTAATGATGAGTGTGTACAGGTGTGCTTTATACTCCTCCGGTTATTCCGTCACACCTTACCGTTCTAGCAACAAGCCATAGGATTGGAGTGATTTCATTCACGTTCAGACCTGCTACTCCTAGAGGCGTTCCCATAGTGTCGTAACCGACGCAGTGTCTCGTTCCCT